AAAGGAGTGGCTGCAGTAGGAACGTAAATAGTATTCCCTGCTACTTTAAAAGGACAGACAGTGATGTAGCGGCCATGGGGGAGCCAAGGTGCTCAGCAGGGTGAAAATGTTGGATGCTGAAGAATTTTTAAAGACTATTTGATTTAACTTAAATGGCGGACTACTGGTCAGTGCTGGTAATGCACGACAAGGCACCTGGTGTGAATAAGCTCTGAGAAAAAACACATTTCCATTGTCTGGTTGTGTTAAAACTTAGCAAAAACAGGTGCAACCTGTTATTCTGTGGGTTTGAAAATATGCACTAATGTTTATCTACATGTGTGCCCTTCAAGCTCAATCCTAAGGAAATTACAACACTACCTTTTGCAGTGGGGCTCCGCCTACACTACAAAGGTTAAATGCTCGTTTTTGGCTAGATTATCTTTAAAAAAAGCAGTTTTACTTACCTTATCCTTCACTCCCGCAGGCTCCGTCTGCCAGTCGCACGTTCAATGCTGGACCAGCAGTCCTGCATTGTAAGTTAGAACGCCGAGGGCCCATCCACCACCTGGATTTTTGTAGGAAAGAGAAAACCGCCGGCTGCCTGGGAAGTGAAGGGTAAGGTAAGTAAAACTGCTTTTTTAAAGGTACCCTAGACAAAAACAAGCATTTAACCCTTGCAGTGTCGGGGTATTACCCACTGCAAGGGTAGTTTTGTAGTTCCTTGGCATTCCGCTTTATATTGACCCAGTCACTATAAAGTCACTTGCTAGCTTGTACGTCTTGTAGTGACAGAAACCACATTGTGTAGCATGGGGGCATGTGTTCATCACACCCCTGCATTATTTTACTTGTGAACTTGTAGTGACCTTGTCTTTAAGATGCATTTTAAATCCCAGCTCAAGCCAAAACTTTGACCTCTTGGCCATTTTTCCTCCATTCTTGTTGGGATAGGGATAGGAGAACTCTGCAGTGGAGACACCACTTACAACAAAAACATTTCTGTAAAATGAGGAGTTAGAGCCTCCTTTGGCTTATTACTGTTAGTATTTCTTGGCCTAGTGACAAGTGCCTCCCTCAATTCTTGTGCAGGTGTCAGACAGGAAGTGAGGTGAAATCTTCAAGCCAGAGTCACAGCAATAGAAACTTGTTCCACATATTTAATTTTCCCATATCTGTCATATTTAAAATCAACTTGCTTTTAAACCATACCAGTTGTGAACAATGCATGGAGGGTATGGTAGACACCCTCCAGTGCCTCTGCCATCTATGTTTCGGCCTGCTGCCCCAATCCACTCTGAAGGGCCATTCAGAATTTTGGTAATCCTAGTACTTCTGGTTTTAGGGCAATTTATCTACCCTTGCACTATGCACTGTTTACTGCCTGTAAACAGGCCTCAGTGTTGTCATGGGAGAGGTGGGACATGAACCTGACAATGCGCATGAATCGCCTTTGAGGAAAAAGGTGAATCAAGTACATTTTTGCCAATAATCTCTGCATTGTGAATCTGGGTAGTGGGCAGGATTGCTGATGGAATACACAGGAAGGCTGCTTTTTCTCTTTTTATCCAAAACATGTAAACTTTTATTCAGGGAGTTGACTATAAGATTAATTTCCCCACGCATAAGGAAAATGCTTATCTAAAAAAAGAGGTATCTCAGCACTTAAAGGAGAATTATGGGGTGAAAAACACTCATCCCCATAATTCAAGCCGACCTGTGACACTGCAGCTGTCGGGGTGGATCTTGGCAGTATTGTTGGGATCCATCCCGGCTATGGCGCAGCTCTGCGCTATTGCCTGCTATATACTGAGTTTTTGGTCACCGGAGGACACTACTATATGTCCTCCTGTGACTCTGAAGAGAACTATGGCCAAAAAAGGTTAAGCCATAGTACTTTTTTAATGCACTTATAAATACATATTACTTCTAGACATGCATTTTTAAATGTTTTGGGAATGCAGTGATAGAATGTTAAGCTGGATCTTATGCTGGAGCATAGATTTGCATATATTGTTGGTTTTCTCATTCATCACATTGCGTTACTTTTATTCCTCCAAACAAGTCATTGTGAACGTATCTCAGATATGTGCCTAAAAAGTCTTCAAAACTATCTCGGACTAATCTGAACTGCAAGTATTTTTTTTGTTAATGAACGTTGTGTTTGACTTCTAAACCTAAGACTGTGTTCACAAACCCTTAATAGATGGTTGTAGTTTAAGAGCAGTTACATTTCTAAATATCCACCCTCACTATAGTCTTATACTTGCCTGTATCCTCCAAGATCCTTGCTGTGCAGCCCGCTTGAAGGCACACAACGTGTTCACTGAAAGTCTTCTTGCTGTGCTCTGCATGCACAGAAGGACTTCCATGTGATCCTATGGAGATCCATAGGATTCCCATGTGATCTTGGTGTGAAAAATAATCAATGGCCCCTCCATAGAACTGAATGGAGATTATTCCATGCATGTGCCGAAGAAGCCGTCTGGCCAGGAGATTGGGAGATGCGCAATAAAGATCTCGGAGTGGGGACGGGTAAGTGTAAGACTTGAGGGCAGTTGCTCTGGGTTATATTCCAGTACATTATGTCTTGCATTATGTTAAGAAACAAAAACAATATTACAGTTTCCAAGAAAAATGAGTCTATTGATACCCAGGGATAAATTAAACGATTTTGCAAATGGAGGATCAGCCAAACTGGTAAAGCAAGGTTTTATCCAGTAGGAAACAGTAGAGTGGACAAGTTGAAATGGAATTCAGGAGCCAGTTCAATTGGAAACCTCAAAAGTGAGGCTTCAGCTTTAATTTAAAAGAAAAACACTTAAAGGTAGTGTTCTTTTTATGACAAGAGAATCTGAATGTCTGTCTCTTCTGTCATAATTGCTTCTCTCTGGCTGTAAGCGTTTGTACTGATCCTTGCATGCACAACTTAGTGCACAATGTGTGCATGGTCTTGTGCCAAGATGAAGTAACTGAAGATGCCAAACCTGGGAGAAGATGGAGGTGACGGAGGAGAGCACTGTAGCGCTGGAGAGGATCGCTTGCAAGGTAAGTCTGCAATAATTAGCTGGTATGCTGTGCATATTGGCTAATTATAGCAAACACCTCCCACTATTTCAGTTTTGTGTTGGCGGCTTTACAAATTCTTTAAGGGGCATTGGCTACCTGGCTCCTGGAATTTGTCTAGCTCCGGCTTACTGATTCAAGTCTGTTCTTTCTTGATCCATTTTAAAATTGTGAGTGAATCATATCAAATTAAAGTAAAACCATTTTTCAGTGGTATATATCTATTTTTGGTGCGTGGCTCTGTCAGCTTTCATATTGATATATTGGATTATTTATAAACTTGAAATGCCTGTAAACAAAGATTTTTCTGCCATGAATGAACATCAAGCAGGGTCCCAGGGACGGACACGGAAGAAGAGGTTACTGGCATCAGGCAAGAAAAGCACATGGTTTGAAATTTGTATTTATTCATTTAAACACCGAAAAAACACAATTCCCATGGAATACATTACACAGTTTTGATTAACAAGTGTTGGCTTTTACCTCTAACAGGAGGCTACAGTAAAACAAACTTAATTAACTTAGAAATTGGGAGGAAAAACAATTTGTTCTTTATGTACTGTATATTGGGACAAAAGTTTATCTGCTTCAAGATCTATAACCCGCTCCCCTTGCTGCCATG